TAATGAAGGCTGTATGCCTTCAACAACAAAACCTTCGAAGTTAAATGTTGTACATGGAGTACGGGAGAGGGAGAATTATATGAAACAATATAGGTCAAGTATTGTTTCACTGATAAACATAATGCGAGATACGAGGTTCACTAAAAGACATATTAGTATCCTCGAGAGAACACCTTTCGGGATGTTGTTTAAATCTTTTTGGAAGAAAGAAGATGTGGTGTTAAAGAAGTTCAAGAAAGTTGATGATAATGTCATAGATATGATCAAATGTTATAACTTTCATGCAAAGGGATTTAAGCTTGGGGGGAAAACGTGTGACATACAGGACAGTGACGTTACTTTTATTTTTGGGATAAAATCAAGAACGAAAAAAGTAGACGTCTCATATGGGAAGAAACAAGAATCAGCTTTTGTGCAGAGAAGGTTTCGTAATATGTCAAGAATATCCGTAAAGAGTTTGCGAGAGGCATTAGGAGATGCATTAGAAAGCACAACGACAGTTGATATTGATGATGTTGCCCGAATAATGTGCTTGTTTGTTATGGCAACTTTATTATTACCAACAACTAGTCTAACAGTTGGATGGGGTTTTGTCGCCCTTGTAGAAGATTTGGAAATGATGAATTCATATGCATGGTCGACTGCAGTTACATCCACGTTGACTACTTCAATCCATTCTTCGTTAGGAAGTCTTGAAAATGTAACTGGATGTGTACTTCTTCTTTTGGTAAATAAATTGAACTACTTGAAATATTATGCAATCTATCTTTAAAGAATTAACTAATTTCGATTTTATATTTTATAGTACTGGTTATGTGAGCACACTACCCTCATTCAACCTCAAGGAAAAAATTTGTGTCCAAGGCTCCTTCGATTGGACTTATCAACGTTGAGGAAAAAGCTAATGAAGAGGTCATTGCAAACACTAAAGCCTGCAGAGGTATCATTTTCCAAACTCAGCCTTGCTGGTTCATTTTGCTTAAAATTATACTTACATAATAAAACTTACACTTGAACAGAGTAAAAGTTTACTTAAAATTGGAGTAAAAGTTTACTTACAATCAGAGTAAACTTTTACTTTGAAATAGAGTAAAATTTTAAGAGTAAACTTTTACTTACAATCAGAGTAAAATTTTACTTACTCTTGAACAGAGTAAAAGTTTTCTTGCAATCAGAGTAAAGTTTTACTTACAATCAGAGTAAAATTTTGCTTACGCTTGAGTAGAGTAAAAGTTTACTTACAATTAGAGCAAACTTTTACTTACAATCAGAATAAAATTTTACTCACTCTTTAACAGAGTAAAAGTTTATTTTAAATTAGAGTAAAAGTTTACTTACAATCAGAGTAAACTTTTACTTACAATGAGAGTAAAATTTTACTTACTCTTGAACAGAGTAAAAGTTTACTTTAAGTCAGAGTAAAAGTTAACTTACAATCAGAGTAAACTTTTACTTACAATCAGCGTAAAATTTTACTTACTCTTGAACATAGTAAAAGTTTACTTAAAATTAGAGTAAAAGTTTACTTACAATCAGAGTAAACTTTTACTTTGAAACAGAGTAAAATTTTACTCTGGTGGTTAAAGTTTTCTTCATTGCTGACTTCTTTTCTTTTTCTATTTTTCAAATGCAGGTAAATCACGACGAACTGAAACCCATTTCTAGAAAAGAAATGGATCTCATTCGCAATGATGAGGAAGAAGATGCATTGGACATGGAGGAAAATTTGGAGACTAAAGAAGATGAAGATCATGTAGCTGAAGCTTTAAGAGATGATCAACCTTTGAAGGACTTCATTGATCTTGGGAAATTAGAACGAGTTAAAAAGGAAAACAAGAGGCTGAAAAGTGAGAATATGGCATTGGTTGAAGAACTGAAGAAAATGTGGGAAACAATGCAAAAAATAGAAGAGGATCAAGAGGCAAAAACAAAAGAAATGATGGAAAAGATGAGCAAGACAGAGAAAGAAATGGAGAAACTGAGAAAGGAGTTTAAAGTACTCGAATCTGAAAATAAACAGTTTGTTGAACAGATTGAAGAAAATGTAGTTCATGCCACCCAAGGTTTTGCTTCTAAAGAAATGCCACATGCTAAAGGAGTAGAACAAAAGCAAAACTTTGGGAGTCGAACTACATTTAAAGAAACACCTATAGTCGTAGAGCCATTGCAAACATCCGTGGTCAAGAAAATCAAAATCAAGGCGAGGAAGAAAAAAGAGATGTCTAATTTTGAATGTGAGCCAAGAGAGGCAAAGAAAAAAAGACCACAAAACAAGCAATTGAAGTGATATCAAATGAAGTGATTTGTGTTGACAACTTGCCTCTAAGCCAACCAAAGCCAGTTGAAAAGGTTTTGTTTCCAGATAAGACTGCAATATGCAAATTGCTTGATGAGAATGATAAGTGTCTACTGAACAAGATTTACAATTTGAAAACTACAGAGTAAGACCATTTTAATTTTATTAAACAACAGATTTTTACCATTATCAAACTGCAATGTGTTAATCAACATTTTTTTTACCTTATGACTAGTGCAATCATATAGTCTAGCACAGGAAATTGAGTATATGTTACATTGCATGATGTGGATGCAATTCTGAGAGATGGTGATATTGCAAATAATGTAAGTGGCCATACAAGTTTCAATAACTAGTGTACACTTCAATAACTAAAAATAGTTCATTTTATTAACATATATTTAATTGATTTTTGTTTTTGTAGGTCATTGACAGCTTTGTTGAAATGCTTCAGATTGAACAAGAAGCAAAGAAGCCAGGAAAGAATAAATCATTCTTTTTCTCAAGCCTTTGTTGGGTAAGCCATCAATTTGTGTTTAGTTTGAATTAATAAAATTTTACTGTGGTTTAGTGTAACATTGTACTGTATTTTGGAGTTAATTTTTACTATTTGGTTTGCCAAAGATTGGCAACTCATACAGTGTGTCACCAACACAACTTGAGACATGACACTCTTATATGATTAAATGCAGTCTTTAGTGAAATGAGGTTATGGAGAGCTGAGAAATCATTTAATTGACAAAGTCCTTGAACAAGATTTCAGTGGATACAGATACCTTCATTTTTGAATGAATTCTAATGGGAACAAGAAGGAAGAAAAACCCTACCACTGGACACTTCTTATATTTGACACTAAACTTGATGAGTGGAGACATTACAATTCTTGAAGGCCAAAAGACAATAGAGAAGATCCTTACCTTAAGGATGCAAAAAAGTTGTAAGTGTTTTGCATCATATTAACAGTAATTTTTTGCTGTGTTTTATTCTTGAATTTAATCGTGACCAAACATTTATGCAATGATGTTAGATAACATATGTGGATAGCAAGTTGGCCAACAAAATGACGAGAGGTAGAAGAAAGTTTTCAAACTTGATTTCGGTGAAAGATAGTCCACAACAACGCCCAACATCGTAAGTATTTCACGCTACTATTACATGCTTGAATTGGTAGTTTTCAAATTTGACTAAATCTAACAATATATTGATTTTTATTAATAGTGTTGATTGTGGAATTATTGTATGTTATATCATGCACCAAATCATAAGAGATGAGCCTATTGCAAATTCTATGGAAGATGATGAAATTAACAATTTCCGAGCGTCTATAGTGTATCAATTTTTGAATGATTATCCAAAAGCATGGACTGAGAAACACTTCAACCTCAAAAAAAAAAAAAACGGGCAAGAGCTAAGACCTCAACGATGACAATGTGGACAAGTTCTGGGAAAGTACTGTGAATGATGTATGTAATTTCGATTTTTGTAAATGAAAGAACTGTGAATGATGTATGTAATTTCGATTTTTGTAAATGAAAGAACGGTGAAAAAGTAATTGTAAGTGAAAGAATACTAAAAGAGTATTAGATAGTACATGCTATGTCTATTGTTCTAGTAAATTTTACTATGGTTTGGTGATTAATACATTATTATAGAAGGATATTGTTTTGACTAGGAATGAACGCTGTTATGGATAGAATACAATGATACAGGTTATACTTGTGTATCTCTGATGATATATGTAGTTGTGTTGTTAGATTTTTTTTGCACAAAGATTGCATGATGATCATCAGGAGAGTTCGTGTATTGTGGTAAATTTTGGTGCAGGTTGGAAATGTTTTTCTAAGAGGGCTAACATATTTTCTGAAATGAAGTAAAATTTTACTCTGAAATGAAGTAAAATTTTACTCTGCATAAAAGTAAAATTTTAATTTATTCTGAAATATGAGTAAATTGTTGCACTCTGAATCTAAAAGTAAAATTTTACTCTGTATAAAAGTAAAATTTTACTCTGAAATAAGAGTAAAATGTTATCAGAAGAATCTAAAAGTAAAATTTTACTCTGTATAAAAGTAAAATTTTACTCTGAAATAAGAATAAAATGTTACACTCTGAATATAAGAATAAAATGTTACAGCCTGAATAAGTAAAATTTTACTCTGTATAAAAGTAAAATTTTACTCTGAAAAATGAGTAAAATGTTAGACTCTGTACAAAAGTAAAATTTTACACTCTGAATTTAAAAGTAAAAGTTTACTCTTTACAAAAGTAAAATTTTGCTCTGTATAAAAGTAAAATTTTACTCTATATAAAAATAAAATTTTACTCTGAAGGGCGAGTAAAATTTGGACTCTAAATCTAAAAGTAAAATGTTACTCTGCACTAAAGTAAAATTTTACCCTCTATAAAAGTAAAATTTTACTCTGAAATAAGGTAAAAGTTTAATCTAAAAGTAACATTTTATTCTGAACATAGTAAAATTTTACTGTGAAACCACATGCTCATCACACCCATAGACAACCATTCAACCACAAAGCAAATCAGAAACTAGAACAGACAACCATTCAAGAACATAGTAAAAATGTCTTTTATTGCAATGCCTCCTTACAAATCTAGTGTAAAAGACTATACTATTATTGCTATGGACTATTTATTGCAGAAGAACTACATTATTTTCATACTTCTATTACAAAATCAATAATGTCTTTCATGAAAATGTCTCCTTGCAAGTCTTCCTATTATGACCATACTTCTCACATCTACCACACTGTACTTGTCTTATCTTCTCACACCTAGATGGGATCCTATTTTTCCTTGGCCTACCAGGTTGCTTCTTATAAATTGGAGGAAGGACAACAAGATCATCCATAACTACAAGAGATTTCTCAACAGTGGGTATTGGATAAACGGACTCAGCATAACAATCTTTGAACTTGCTAGTGTAATAAAATGGTTCCATATGTGCATACAAATCACCTCCGCTCTTTTGGATAGCGGTCGCCGCGTAAGCACAAAGAAATCCATTCAATTGCCATTGGTAACATGAGCAAGTTCTATTCAAGAGGTCAACGCTAACCGATGGCCGGGATTGAACCTCAAAAACATGATTACTTGAACGACTAACCAACCAAGTTCTTCTACTTTTAAGAGCATTTACTAATGTTGAATCCATCTCCGGACAAAGAAAAGTATTCCATTTCTTAGCTTGTTCTCTTCTTCTCGACATCAAAGCCATGATCTTCAACCTAATTGAATCAATCATTTTCGTAGTGGGCAAATGACGAGCTTGATGGATCCATGAATTGAAAGACTCTGCCACATTCGAGTGCATTTCACCGTATTTTTGTCCTTTAAAATATGCATAGTCCACTTGTCATAGGGAAAATTGGATAGAAACCTACAAACGATCCATTTTCCCTCATCTTGTAATTCTTTCAAGCACTGTTTAAAACATCCCACTATCGGAGTATAAGCACACGAAGAAAACTAAAAAACTATCCTACTCTTGAAAGTATTGTTGAAACTTGGACCGGAGAACCTATCCCTCAAATTGGCCTTCAAGTGTTGGAGACAAAAATAATGGTAAGCAGTAGGTAAAACCTTGGGTAAAGTCTCCAAAAGTCCTGCGTTTCTATCAGATATGAAGGTAATTGGTCTTTCATCCAACAATATATTCGACAAATGTATAAAAAGCCATTCCCAACTGTCTGTAGTCTCCGTATCGACAATTGCCATTGCAAGAGGGAAAAAACCTGAAAAATAACATTTTACAATTAGTAAGTATATTAAACGAAAATGACAAATATAATAAATTTTTACTCTGAATAACAGTAACATGTTACTCTGAAAATAAGTAACATGTTACTCTGAGAATAAGTAACTTGTTACTTTTGAATAAACTATAGTAATATCTACCTTGATCCCCATCCTTCGTTGTAGCTATTAACAAGGTGCCCTTATATTTCCCATTTAGAAAAGTTCCATCGATAAACAATAGAGGACGGCAATGCCTAAACCCTTGAATGGAAGCATTAAATGCAACAAAAAACCTCTTGAACTATCCACTTTGATGGTTATAGTCATGACACAAATAGCTACCAAGATTTGTGCTCATCACAATATCCATATACCATCGAATCTCATCATAAGACATAGAGAAATCTCCAAAAGTAGTAGTCCTAGTTTTCTCAACTCCCAATTAAGCGTGATTGTATGTAATGGTGAGCCCATATTGATTTGTAAATTGAAGCACAACATCAATTGGACGAGTTTGGGGATTCCCACGAACTTCATTAACAATCAAACTTGCAACCAAATTTGAACTCATCCTTGAGTTTTTAGAAGTACGAACTGCAGCTCTACAAGTATACGAACTGCAGCTCCACAAGTATGGTCATCATGTAGAGTCCTAATGTAGAAAAAATTATTAGCACTTTCTAAAGATGCATGTACTCGCCATAAACAAGTTTTGGACTCCCGCGTTGAACACACATCAGTAACCCGACACTTCTCATTCTTTACATACATAAACTCAAATCCTATCTCAATGGCATATTTACATAATGCAGTCCGGAAATCCTTTGCACCTCCAATAAATCTTTGACCTACATGAGTAATTTCATTCACCCATCCACAAGACAAGAAAGTCCTTTTTTCATGTTGACAAAACATAGGTAGTAAATCCATTTCATCATCAGTAATGTTGGATCCAGTAGCGTCCCCTGATTCTCCAACTCCATGTTTTTCATTTGAAATGCCCATTTCAGTAATAGTCACATCAACCCGGTCAACACCAAGGGGATAAACAAGCGACAACATATTTTGAAAATCCGAATCATCATCAATCATGCATTGCGAATGTCCAGGCAAACAATACAATAATAGTATGCAACCACTATTGTCAAACTTTTTCAATTTACAACTTAAGAAATCAGTTAAATCCTTCAACGCGCAGTTTGACACAACCTTGAACACAATGGTACGATCACCATACTTGCATAACAACATAAGAGGTGAAACCATTTTACAAATCTGCAATAAATTAACAGTAAAAATTTACTGTCATTCAAAGTAAAATTTTACTGTCACTATCAAAGTAAAATTTTACTATTACTATCAAAGTAAAATTTTACTGTCACTACAAGTCCAAAAGTCAATTTGTGTTTAGTTTGAATTGATAAAATTTTACTGTGGTTTAGTGTAACATTGTACTATATTTTAGAGTTAATTTTTCCTATTTGGTTTGCCAAAGATTGACAATTCATACAGTGTGTCATCAACACAACTTGAGACATGAATCTAAAAGTAAAATTTTATTCTGCATAAAAGTAAAATTTTACTCTGAAATAAGAGTACAATGTTACAAAAAAGAATCTAAAAGTAAAATTTTACTGTGAAATAAGAATAAAATGTTACACTTTGAATTAAAGAGTAAAATGTTACACCCTGATTTTAAAAGTAAAATTTTACTCTGTACAAAAGTAAAATTTTACTCTAAAAAACGAGTAAAATGTTAGACTCTGAATCTAAAAGTAAAATGTTACTCTGCACAAAAGTAAAAATTTTTACTCCAAAATAAGGTAAAATTTGTCATTCTAACACCAGAGTAAAATTTTACTCTGTAGAAAAGTAAAATTTTATTCTGAAAAACGAGTAAAATGTTAGACTCTGAATCTAAAAGTAAAATGTTGCTTTGCACAAAAGTAAAAAATTTTACTCCGAAATAAGGTAAACTTTGTCATTCTAACACTAGAGTAAAATTTTACTCTAATTCTCTCAAATAAAAAACAAAGCAATAGAACCAGAGTAAAATTTTACTCTGGTTTTGTCAAACGAAATCAAATCAAACACAACAAAAATAAATCGAAAAAAAAACAAACAAAAATAAAAAAAATTTAATCAACTAATCAACATACCTGATTGAGAAGAAAAACTTCTAAAACTCGATCAACAGCTATAAATCTCAATGAAACTCTTGTTTAATTGAGAGTGTTGATCGTCGTCGGCGAGATCGTCTATTGTTGAGCAAGTGAGAGATATTCGGCTGCGAGATGTTCAGATTTGGAGATTGTCTTCATTGATTTCGTTCCTGCTAGATTTTGTTCGTGATTTCGTTCAGCTTAGATTTGCGAGATCTTCAAATATTTTGTTCAGCTCAAATTTGGAGATTGTATATATAAAGGGGCAATGTTTGTGATAAAAAAAAAATAAAAAATATCAAATGTCCTTATTAATATAGACATTTCCTAATCAAGTACCTTTTTAAAAAAAATTAATTAAATTATCCTTTCCCCTAATAAAAAGACCCAAAAAGAGATTTCATCAAAAATCCTAACTATGGCCTCGTTTGGGAAGTGGCTATTTTAGTATGTTATTTTAATTTTTGGCTATTTTAAGTAGGCTAAAATTTTTGTGTTTGAGAAGATGATTGAATTTTTTTGTGGTTGGATGTAATATCTGTGAGAGAAAAAGTGAAATGATTATGAGTTTGATGTGATATTTTGTCTTATTAACTATTTTAGCCTATTTTATCTTTTTGTGATTTTTAACCTAAATTTAACTATTTTTTTTCTTCCCAAACACGCCCAAGTGCTATTGGTGTAACTCGCACTAATCTAACATAAAACTATCTTTTGCAACAGTTGGTTCGTGGAAGCAAATGAAAGACAACTCTCTCTCTTTCTCTCGTCTCTCTCTACAAAAAGTTAATCACTCCGCGTGAACAAAATCGCAAGAGAAAATGACCCCAATTTGCTGCTTTTTTTGCAGGAGTCGACAAACGCACGCTGTGTCGGTTTCCCCCTTGTATGGCTTAGCTCTTTTGTGCTGATTTGTTTGTTTGGTGGGGTAGTTTACCCAAGTTTTTTGACGGAGTTTTCATACTTTGATGCTCATGAATGTTCCTTCAATGTTGACATTTATTATTATTATTATTTTTTTGTTTTACTGATGCTGATGGATTGAGTGGAGCAAAGATCCATGTGGTAAACGCCTTTCTTTTTGTTTCTTTTGACTACAATTTGAAGAAGCGGTAGAGGATTTGGTGAATAACCCACAAGCATATCTTGATGATTGGGTATTCAATTTTCTGATTTTAGTTGTGTGGTACAGTAGGGCATAACCTATATAAAACTCAGAATTTGTTGTTCAAAAAAGTTCATAAATTGATTCATAAACAGGGTTTGAAGTTTAGGCCTACAATTTTCTAGCTTAGAGAAAACACCCACGAGGTTTTTGTGTGAGGGCATTAGTTGGGTTGGATTGCTTTGTCAATAGTTGAAGTTGATTGTAATTGGAGAAGATGGTTGAGAGTACTAAGGGGATGGCGGAAAATGTGTACCCAAATGGGTTAATTCACAACTCAAATGGGTCAACAGAAGAGAAGGTTGATGAGCTTCGTCGCCTTTTAGGGAAAGCTGATGGTGATACTTTGAGGATTGTCGCAGTTGGGGCAGGTGCTTGGGGTAGTGTTTTTGCTGCAATGTTGCAGGACAGCTATGGTCACCTTCGAGACCAGGTTCAGATTAGGATATGGAGAAGACCTGGAAGATCTGTTGATAGAGGGACAGCCGAGCACCTATTTGAGGTGATAAACTCAAGGGAAGATGTGTTGAGGAGACTGATTAGGCGCTGTGCATATTTGAAGTATGTGGAGGCAAGATTAGGTGACCGTACCCTATATGCAGATGAGATTTTGAAAGATGGGTTTTGCTTGAATATGATTGACACACCACTTTGCCCTTTAAAGGTTGTCACCAACTTGCAGGAGGCTGTGTGGGATGCTGATATTGTGGTGAATGGCTTGCCATCAACAGAAATCCGTGGGGTATTTGAAGAAATTAATAGGTATTGGAAGGAAAGAATTACAGTGCCAATAATCATTTCACTGGCAAAAGGTATAGAGGCCGAATTGGAGCCTGAACCACGTATTGTAACTCCAACTCAAATGATCAACCGGGCAAGTAAGACCTCACCTCTCTCTCTCCTTTCTTTATATTTGTGTCCTGGACTAGTTGTGTTATATTCTTAGCAGAGATGCCATACATACTCTGTTTGTGGTTAAGGCTGACAAGAATTTTGTTCGGCAGTGATTTGCTTTCGATGGGAATAGATTAGTTGATTGTTATGCAGCAGCCGCTGGATAATTGATGCTGTACGATTTAATTTGTCTTCTTCTGTTATTACCTAAGAACTGTTTTTTCTTTGTGCTTGATTTTCTTGTAGTATTGAAAGAAATGTGATTTGCTGACTTAAAATAGCATACCTTCTGATGTCGAACGGTTATTAACAAATCGGTTCAACTCTTCAATTGATCCCAAACTAGAATATGTGGAAAATTGATCCAAAAGAGAAGATAAAAAAATTCAAGAAGAATAAGCATAAAGAAAGAGAAGAAGAATACAAGGGCAATCCTAATCTTGAATGGTCACAACCTTATGGTTAATAACATTAATCCAAAGCTAAATATAACAATGCAAAGACCTAATATTTATAGGCTATAAACCCTAATTCAAAATAGGAAAATAAATCATATCATTATTTGATTACTTAATCCTGAATAATATAAGAAACTAAATATTACTAAGATCCTAAATCAACTATAGAAAGAAATAAAATTAAACACATTAATATAATTATACAATTGTAATGCCAAAATTAGTGTCCATTCCACGTCATCTTCATTTGATGGTCTACAAAGCTTTTGTCTTAGGCGAACCAAAAGGATTCATTTGCATTTGACCGCTATGATTTTTCACAAATTTACCCCTTTAAGAAACCATTTATTTTCAATGGAACCTGGACACGACTGTATTCCTTGCCAAAGGATACCAGTGGCTGATGGGTAGGAAATGACTTAACTTGAACGATAGATGTCGCCGCTGCGAGCCGACCCCGTTTGATGGGATTTAAGGCTTAGTTTGGTTTGGTTTGGGTTTGGTTTTAACATGGAAGGGTGTTTTACTGGTGTATAGCATGATTCTATTGGACTTGCCCACAACGAAAGAGAGAGGTTCTATTAGCATATTATGGATTATGTGCTTCCTGTAAGCCCTTATTGACGTGCAAAATGTAAAACTTGTTGAATACTTGAAGTGATGGCTACTTGTTCTTTGAGTTGTTGGAGATCTTGATTATCTCAATTGTTTCAAGAGCTAGTGAATATAGCTTATGGTTAGCTAATGCTGCAAAATGTGCTTTCTAGGCTAATCATTCATAGTAGCCTAGGAAGCACAGACACAGAAACGACACTGATAACTAATAGGGACACAGGCACAGACATGACACTTGGAAAACACACAAAAAATATAGTTTTATATATTTATTAAATGGCATATATTAGGATAAGTAATTATTATATGTCATATGTATGAATAATTAATTCAAAGATAATAATTTTTAAAGTCTAAATGAGGAGAATAAGTATAAATTTATCTTATTTTTCTTTTATCATTGTATTTCAAGTTATTTTATTCAAATTTTTAATGCGTTTCACGTGAGTGTGTCTAAGTAATAGACACGTGTTTCACAAGTGTTTCAAGCGTGTGAGAGTCTAGAAATTTTTTAAAAGTAGTCAGAAGTGTGATGTATGACGTGTTGAAAATTGTTCAATGAGTTTCATGTCACCTCATTCAGCAGTGGAGCTCAGCTACATACTCAGCAAAAATGAGACTACGGACCATGAGCCCCCTCCCTCATTATTTGATAGAGAATTCCGTCGTCCTACCTCTGTGACTACACCCATCATATCAATGACGTTAGTGACCACAATCAGTGTGTCAGGGATAGGTTTCATGGTGCTATGCACAATGGAAGTACATGATGGAATTCTTGTTGGCGCAATAGGACCTGTGGACATTTGTCAATGAGACAGAATAGGACCTTCAGAGACCAGTTAGAGACCTGATCATAGTCAATTGGGAGAGAAGAGACAGGATAGCTGAGAAATTTATCATACTATTGTTGGATAAAAAAGATTGCTTCTTGTGTGAGTTCATTCGAGTGTGCTCCAAGATGCTATAGGTTTTCAATCCAAATCAAGCTACAGGTAAATGAAACTTGCCATTCGTTGATTAGCAATGACATCTTGAAAACGTCCAGACACGAAACTCATCGGACAATTTCCAATACTTGTTGGACATACATCCAAACATTTCTAACTATTTTAATAAATTTTAGATAGTAGCTTATGGTGAATGGATTTCATTTGGATATGTTTGAGTTGATTAATATTATTAATTCACTTTACTTTTTTTTTTTTTTTGAAAACTTTATTGAGTAATTTTTAAATTTCTTCTGTTAGTGACCTTGTATTACTAGAATTGAAATATGATGTTATTTTTTTATCTAGTTGATTCCAAGAAACTTTTAATAATGAGGGGTAAATGTGTCACTGATAATAGAAGGAGGAGACAAAAGGGTAGATGAAATACATAAATAGGTTGAGTCATAACACCTGTGTGAGTTGATAAGACTTAAGCATAAGCTTCTTGGGCTTATTCCTTTGAAGTCAAACCTTTCAATATTTCTCTTTACTTAAATTTCTTATTTCTTCGGCCTCTTATAATCTGCATTATTATTCAAAGGAATTTTTTATGTTGCCTGGGATGTTGGTTTTTATCTTTTTTCTATTATGAGAGACCACTGTGGGATCTCTCGGAGGGTATCCGAGCGCACCCGACAATTCAAATTCCTGTCTAATTTCATGAATGCAATGTGAAACAAATGAGAGGCCAAATCTAACAAATCCATAGAAAATCCACTAAACACAAGAAATGCCAAATATCCATTACATCACTAGACTTAGAGTCGCCACCTAATCTTTTGGGAAAACTAGAAAACCTATGACTCGTGTCAAAGGCCACTGTCTGTCACAACTAAAGTGTCTCGGCTTAGGAACTTAGGTATGAGGGGGGATGATCATGAATTGAGCACTCCTACTCATCCGATCAAAGATCGGTCTTTACTGATTCACAATATGAGATTCATTGCCAAGATATGCTCATGTTCCGATTATTAATACTAACATTACTAATTGAAGCAAACAAGTATAGACTAAATCACTTATTTTGGAATACTTTGATCTCATGCATATTTATAAAAGAGTTTGAAAATGTGCAACTCAAAGAAAAAGATGAGTTCACATATATAGAAATTAAGATTATCCCAATTTAAGTGAAACAACCTCCATCCACCGGCAATTAAAGAGATATGTCAAGTAAGCATGTAGCCTCATGGTAGTATGCAAGACATTGTAAGGGAAACACACACAATCGGGATGCAAACATCAAAGGAACTCACCTAATACTCATCCGCATCAAGCCAAGTGCAAAGGGTTACAAAATATGCATGATCCTAGATGCAAAGAAACTAATGTAATGTATACACAAGAATGCAACTAAGGACTTGACTACTAACATATGACATGTGAACCATCTCAAAATATGGAATTGCACACATAATCACGTAAGAACCCAAGAAAGTGCTAAATATAATGAGCCAAGTCCTATCCTATGCATGAAAAATGGATTCAAGACATGGAAAATGATGAGTAAAAGAACATATGATGCCAAAACAAATATGGAAGACATCAAATAAAAGGGATAGAGAAAGAGAAGAGAAGCAATCATTCATCAAAGCTATAAAACAAAAAGAAGCAATCTAAGAATACAATAGAAACAAGCTATTGATGAAAATAAAAGTTATCAAGAATAGGCTAATTACACTAACAAGGATTCTAAATGGAGATGTAGAAGCTATCAAGTAAGAGAATACTGAGAAACAAAACAATAAAAGAAAAAGAGCTAAACTGCTTCTCTAATAGAGGAATACAAGAGAAAAGCACTAATTCTCTTAGAATGCTTCTAGAAGCTAGACATGATGAATTCATCCTCAATCATTGAGTATGATAAGAGGATGCAATCCATTCAAGCCGTGGAAGCTTCATAATAAGCACAAATAGAGAATCCCAATCTCAATCACCACAAGATGAGAGAAATAGTAGCAAATAATAAAATGAATGTAATCCATCCCTCCTAGCCTGAAAATGATCACAGAAGAGATAGATAAGCTTCCCTAATCATCAAACAATATGAATCATTATATGATGATTATGGAAGCAACTCACAAAAATATAACTATAATCAAAGAAATGAGAAAGAATCTACATCTCTACTCATGGAAAAGAGTAAATAGATACTCAAATCGATGTAAACATGATTGGAGAGATTAGATTGCAATCTATTTCCAAGTGGAAGCTATGTTTGGCTTCCAAGTGAATGTAAAAGGAAGTGAAGAGGAAATGAGAGAAGATGCTAGGAAAATGATAAACAACTACCACAATACATGAAAGTCATAAAAAATAATTAGAAGCTCATCTTCTTACTCATGGAAGATGGATATAAGCATCCATTCCCATGTTCAAAGGGTTTGAGAAGAGATCTTCCAACTCTTTTGAAGAGGAAGTACTTGTTTGGCTTCTAAGAAAGTGGAAGAGAAAACAAGAGAAAAAGAGAGAATCATCTCCTCTAAGCACCCAATTAATTCCACAAATCACCCAATTAACCCCACAAAACAATCGCTAAGGCTCATTAAGGTATGAACAAGAATTGAATTATGAGAATTAACATGTTTGGATGATGAGAAATTAGTGAGAAAATGAGAGAAAACTAAAGAAAATGAAAGAAAGAAAGACAGAAAGTCAATTATCAAAACCAAACATAGGGTGAGACTAATACCCTCTATACAAGTCCATAATCAGTCTAAATTATCAAAGAAAATCATAAATAAATTGTTTGGGAAGTGTGAGAGAGAGAGAGAGAGAGAGAGAGAGAGAGAGAGAACCGAACCAAACTAAGTCTTAAGTCCCATCAAATGGGGTCGGCTACATGAATCCTTCTTCTCAACGCGGCCCTATTAAAGGCTATTTCGTTAGTCAAATTAAGTAGATCCATATATCTATTTA